TTACTAGTCGACTTAACCGGATAGATGGATTTGTCTTTTGGTTCTGAAATTTGGAATTAGACCGAGCGTAGGGCATAATGTAAACTATTTTCGTAGAGAAAGGTTTTACAATTTGATTCGAAAGTGACTATGCATTAAAATAATGTTTAAGATAATACAGTTAAAATAAAATGCATTTGGAAATGCGCGAAAAAAACTAAAAAAAAATACTCCGTCAACTTTGATTTGAAGGTGTTCGGTATAGAATTTTTAGATTTTTTTAGGTTATAGGGTTGGCGAAATTTGAGAAGGATGCAAATACAAGTTTGAACGGCAAAATTTATTTTATTGGTCAATTGAATTTGAGTAGTTTTGGGAGACAACCCTCAAAATAGTTCCACTTTAGTTACATAAGTTATACTTTAACACAGAGAGCAGAAAGCTTCTGATTATGACCGATTGCATTGTCATGTCATAAATTTAATCGGCCTTAACGTCGTTCGCATAAAATCTAGAGATTTGTTGCCATAATATACAGTAATCATGTAGTAGGTGGAAATGGATTCGATTCTACGGATTTTGTGGTCAGGATCAATTTTCGGAGGAGTGGATGATTTTGACAGTAAGACTTTGTATCTGATCTACGAATTGAGCAAGTTTATTTGCCGAGAGTTTAAGTATTAATGTCATGATATTGCATCCAAGAGATTTTTTGACCGCTGTTTATTTCGGATTTTAAATAGAAAATTGAACCATGTCGCATTGGCATCATATCTGTATTATATGTTGAAATTATTTCGACCCATTGATGTTTTATGTGCTTCAATTTCGTATTTCTATTCATGCGACAGTATGTAAGTCGTCAATAACCTCTTTTTTCTGTTTCCAAACAATGTTTTTTAATAGTTAATTGTTGGAACATTGTAAAGTTGGAGAAATATTATTTCTTACTTATGAAATTCGATTTTGTTATCGTCACATGGTAAGCTATGACTAATGGATTTCGTAACATAATTTACAAATAAATTCACGTGAACGTACACAGGCTAAAGCGCCAGATTATTTGTGTTGATCGTAAATACGACAAATAATCTTATACTGTATATCAATTCTAAGTAAAAACATGTATTTTTCGAGTTGTTTGTTCCATGAAGTATATATCTATGACCAACTTCAATACTGACTCCTGTAATTATTGTTCAACACGATGTCATATGTATATACACAAAATACAGTGTTATCATATTATACAATGCGTTAATGCCGATTTTGTAAATTTGATTGACGAATTTAAGCAATCCAAAGAAATGTATACGAAATTTATTATCTGATATACAAAGTATGAAAATATTTTTCCCCAGAAAGTCGTATGTTATTTCCTTGCTCAGAAATTCATCTCAGTCCGAAGTCAACAAGTGTAAGCCCGTTTAAATTTCTAAAATAAATCTTGGCAAAAAGCTGATTGATTTTGTTTAATATTTTGTTTAGTTCTTGTTGACTTATAATAATATATCAAATAACATTTTCGATTGGCGATTTCAAACTCGTCTTCAGACCAAAATTCAAGGCCCGAAGCACGGCCCGATTCACAATTCTACTATAAAGTAGTGCGAGTTCTTACTGAGGCTCTTGATACTTTTCATTCATAAATTTCATTTTTGTCACAACACGGGACTTGTACTGTAGTTGATTGGGAGAAATACCATCCAAACAAATAGGAATAGTTTTTCATTGATCCAAACTACTGAGCGTAAAAATAAAACCTCTGTGTATATTTGATTCAAAGAAAGCAATTACTGACCACACATTAGGACAAAATCGATCGTTACTGCGTGACTGCCGACTCTTTTCTTATTTATTGGAAATGTAAGCGTTGTCACATTCAATTAAATTGCATTGAAAAGTAATCTACAATGCTAGGTCATTGTTCAATTGGTGAAGAGCTTCTCCCACGTATCAGCGACGCAGGACCAGGTTATTATTTGGGATGAATAAACGAAATACAATAAAAAAAATAATCGAATACTTTCTTGAAATGCTTCGACGCGTATACTAAATACACAATTTTGGGTTGTTTTTCAAATTCACAATATACTCTAACATAATATTTTATGAATAGTCTCCAAAGAAACAACATGGGCGGAAGTAAATTGGTTAAGGTATGTTACTAGTGATTCAACGGCTTCATATAAAAATGAAAATTCAATTTTGCCTACGCGCTCATCTCATTCTAAAACAGTCAGATGCGTTTCACTAATTTTAACTCATTTTAATTTCCATCACTCACGCCACCCAGCGTGACTACTAATCTGGTTGCAATTGATTACGTGACAGAGATTGACTGAACCGAAGCCACACAGTTCGCTTTGCAACAGGAATATTAAATTAGGAAATAAATTTTTTGAAAGCTGTTCAGAACGTCAGAAAGTAATAAGTTGTAATTTGCATTACTGTTGCTTTATGTACTGCGTATTACCACAATATACCTCTTGAGGTCAGTATTATAGATTTTTCCAATTTTTCGAAGTTAAAGTGAATTGAGTGGGTTGAGGGACAAAGAACAAATGTTGAAATTACGAAAAATTTTTTTTGAAAACCTTACGAAGGAATGATGCTTTTGTGGTTTTAAACAGAAGTTTAAATCCATATTCCTAAAAAAAATTAGAAAAAAGTTTAAATAATGAGTTTAAAAATTCAAAAAAATATTTATTTTTCTCATTTTCTGAAATCAAGTATTTTTCAAGTTTTTCCTCTTGGGTTGGAGCCGCCAAAGTGATATTTCTGATATCTTAGCATAGACCTCAATTTTAATAAAAAATTTTGAAGGTTATATATCATAACCATCATGAGTTTTCTAATATTGTTTGTTTAGTGATTTCGTGATGTAATTTTAATGTAATAGAAATACGATATCGCGCTGCTGTCATGTCTTCAGATAACCTTTTATAATTACAATGAGACATTACATGACACAATTTAAAAACATTTTATCTCGTGACCACAATCCCACTGCTATCAGATGTGGTATAAATGTCGCTTTAACAATAGTGAATTCTTAAACTTTTTAAAAGATATTTGTGAGTCACATCTGTTCAAAAATAAGTATACTTTGCTCATGATATTGCTCTGGGCAAATTGTTTTGAAAAGAGTCGAGTAAGAAAAGACTTTTTCCCAATGTGATGCATTTCTATATAATTTATATTGCATTCATTTGCTTGGAAAAAGAAAAATTATTTAAAAGGTATCTGAAAACGTATCTATCCATAAACAAAAACCCTGTGCAACGCATAAATATATTTATTTGGAAGCTAGAAAACAACAATGACTTTAAAATTGCTAATAGGAAATTTAAAAATTTCGCTTTGTTTTCATAATGTGACCGTTGACCCAGAGAGTCAAAGGTTATCTACTAATTCCCAAAGTTAGGGCGTAGGTCATCAAATATCGGAAGTCGGAATCGCAATTGCAGCCGCTGTCTAATTTTTGCATTTCGATTGCACTTTAGGGCATTTATTGCTGAGAGTAGTATATCAACATATTTATTAAGGAAGTTAAAATAAGTTTTGTATGTTATATATCAACCATAGATAATTAATTCGTAATATTTCGCCGGTATGGAACATGCTTGGTTTGAACGCTAGTACATTTTTCGTGCGTATTTAGTGAGGTAATCCGCTTAGCCGTGAAATCCTTGAAAAACAAACCGTCAATAAACAAGATCTGGATTTAAAACGTGAGTTTTTAAAAAAATATAAATAAATACACCCGAGTCGGTCTACGAATTTCAAACCAAATTGACACAGCAAAAATATGGATTGCACCAATAAAAGTTGAATATTAGAAAACTGTAATTTGTCCCATAGAAGCAATAAAATCCAACATTTTACACAACCTCGGTGTGGAGGTGTAAGCGAGATCTCTTCTATGGGTTTGTTCCGTCATATATCGAAAATAATTTGCCGTTTGTCGATCTGTAATTAACCAATCTTTTCTATGTCCCCCGTTCGTCGAGTACTACAAGCGTTTTTTTATAGGAATCCACTTTTGATTTAATAAAAAATACAATACCAGGAGGTTCAAGAATTATTTTCATAGTCAAGTGTTCAGCATTGGCATTACAGCAAATTTTAAGTCATTTTACAGCAAGGTTCAAGTCATTTTACAGCAGTTTTCAATGATGACATTTTCGAAACCGTTTTAGAAATCTCAAATTTCTGAAACCTCCACTTCAACTACCGGTAAATTAAGAAACATGAATAAAGCAGCAAGAATTTATTGATGCGATACGCGATAGGTTAATGGGAATAATCGCTGGTAATGGACGAAAACTTAGATGATACCTTGTCATGTATGATTGTGACCGCTTATGACCTAAGGCCACCAATGAAATACCGAGTCCTTGTTGTTTTCATTATTTTTATTCGCCAAAAATTTGTTAACAAAGGATTCATGTCATAAGCGACAATCTACCTCACACGTTTTTTTATTTTTCGTTTGAAACTTCCCAAAAGCGCTCTTTTATGTTCATATATTTTTTGCAATGTTCAGCGGCCAAAGGGCGTAGTCTTGGCTTGTTTAGTCACGCCCACAAGTTTTTACATCTTTCCATATAAAAATAAATGATATATTTCCCTCCAGCGTACGTGCATGCTTGCTTCAATATAATATTGAACAAAATAATACGATTACCGTTCTTTCTCCCTTGGTAATAAAAGAACCCATATCATTTGACATATAAAGAAGAATTGGATATGCCATCCTTATAATTAATATTACACACAATATAGCGAAGTGCTGCAACGGTTTTTGAGTTCATATGAGAGGCGTAATGTGATGATCCACAACTACAAGATGTTAAAGGTAGAGATATATATTGTAGTGAATATGCTCATAAATCATGTATGCCTTATGCGCGAAATTTGTGAGGTAGAAAAGTTGAACGAGTATTCAAGTAGTGTTTAGATATACTTTAGAATTGATTCTTCACCTTTATTAATTATAGCAACTTAATAATATTGTTTTTAATCAACAGGATTACTTAGATTGATACTCCTGTGTGGTCTAAGTTTTAAACCTTTGTCGATTAACATTCTAAAAAATCATAATTTGTGTGCCTAAAGACGAACGAGAGAATTTTTGCATATCGCCACAACATGCACGCCATTTCACCGCAAATGATGGTCTGGGACCCGTCTACGGTCGGACTGCCACCACAGGCCACGGATATGCAAGCCCCAGTTTTGGCACCAGGTTTCCAAACTGTACTTCCTCATGCGTACCGAATCGCAGGTGCCGTGCCTCAAATGTACGCTAGTGCCTCAGTGCAGAATCCGGCAGAACATCAAGGCATTGTATGGGTTCAGCAATCACAAATAATAAATCAAGATCATACAACGGAAGATTTCGAAACTGGCGCTCAAGTTTTTACACATGGGGTTGTCCCGGGTCAAATCCCAATGGTACCGCAGCATAATATGATGCCAGTCATTATGACAATTAATGGCCAAAGAGTGTTGGCTCATCAGCCAATCACACAGATACAAAGTCCACAGAACGCGTATTACCAAATGCCAGAACACGGAACCATGGTCCAGCAACCTCACGAAGGTTTACACTTGGTGAACATAGCCGGAATCAATCAAAGAATGCAACAAGGTGTTAGACTGACTTCTCTTCCACACCCACATGATATGATGCCAACAACAACACAGGCAATCCAAAACATACAAGAAAAGCAGCAATTGGATAGGCCAAGACTTACTCCAAGGAGACGGAATGGATCCACTGTATTTACTTGTGGTTAGTTTTTGTTTATACACTATGTAATAGATTTTTTCGTCATCGAAAATCTAATAGACCAAAGAGTGTAAATTTAACAAATCACAATCAAAAATTGTTTTAAATAAATCAAATCTTATTTTCACGTGTTCAGATACTGTTGCATCATGGAGGCGAGTCAGCGAGGAACGCTCTCTTGGTGGACTCAATACCGCTATCCGACGACGAAGCCAATCTGCTGATCGTGACGCAAATGAAGAATCGACAACTAATACTGCCGGTATTTATGCAACATTTCTTAGACCTGTGTAATTAGCTATTGGCAATGTGAAATGTAGATGCATTCGTCTCGATTAAATTAGTCACATTATAATAATTGTATTTATTTTGTAGAGAGTCCAACGCCGAACAAACGGGCGGCAACAACTTATTTTCCAATAAGGAATAATATCGAGAACCAAAGTGAATTTTGGCGGGCTCCGGACGCTCGTATCCTGCGAAAATTGATCGACATTATCGAGTATTATTTCTCAGACGAATGTCTTACAAGAAACGGTTACATGCTCAAGCAGGTTTGTATTAACAATGCTATAAGATATTGCTTTTATTATATTTGATAAGAGCTTTTTAACGTTGAATATTACTAAACTTCCAGATCAGTAGCACCGATAGCGATGGTTATATTTCATTGAGGCGTGTGGCTGCACTCAAGCGTGTAAAATCCCAAACTCGTGATCTCCGCACGGTGGCGTATGCGGTTCGTCAATCTGACAAATTGGAAATGGATGAAGAGGGAACAATGGTAAAATCCTTACAACACGAAATTTCTTGGCTTTAAAATTGAGAATTACATGATTATAAGCATTTGGGTGTATTTTTCAGCTGTTAATCTGATTTGAGAAATCTAACACTACGGTCTGAAATAATTCTTCATCTTTTCTATCAGATAAGAAGAAAGCGCCCACTGCCTGAAAATATTGAGGCTCCGAGATTCATTCGCAGTGTTCTTGCCATAAATTTGCCAAATGATTCTCCAAGTGTGGAAGATGTAACCTCACTTTTCACTCCATATGGAGACTTGACTCAAGTGCGTGTGCTTCGGCCTGGGAAATCAATACCATCATACTTGAAAGAATACACTGCAGTAAGTTGAATGATGCTTTCTTCATACCAGGACAGTTTTTAACTCAGATAGCAAACGTGCAACCGGCACATTCTAATTGAATTGTAGAACATTCAGATGCTTAATGCTTTTGACGTTTTTTAATTTTGCAAAAATTTTAGGTCATTTCCCAATATCAGAAAACAACAATTAGGTGAAAAACAGTATCTAAATCAGCAAAATTGAAACCATCGAAATTATAGTCTGATTTTTAATATCTAATAAATTTTTGTTATTCAATTAAAAAATTGAATTGAAAATTTTCTATGATTTTAGTGGGTTCCTGATCTTGGAAGTAGAGTTTGTGCCGTAGTAGAATTTGAAAATCAGGATGAAGCACAGAAAGCTTGCAGAGAAATAAATATGCAAAACAGAGGACAAAACACCCTCAGAGTTGCATTGTTGAAACCAGGCGCTAGGATTAGAAGAACTTTATACAGAAAATATAAAGGTAATTTTTTTTTCTTCAATTGCCGCACATCTAATATTTTTTAAGCTTATTCGTTATCCCCCTTTACTTCATTCATTTCTCATTTATCAACTATATCTATCATCTCTATTACATACATGCGTTATTTCTCTTTTTATTACTCAGCTTTTTTATTCTCTTTTCATTCTTCTTCATCACCCTATTCACTATCATCATACTTCGCGCGCTTTTCCTTTTACTTCTTCTATTATAATACTATACTGATCATAGACAGCAATTTATCATTTCGTTTTGTTTTTTAGATGACGTAGTTGAAACAAACGACGACAAACCTGTACCTACAGCAACAAAAAGAGACGCTATCGATGCCAACTCTGAAGCGACATCAAACCTAAGAGTGCGTTGTGCAAGTGATTCAAGTGATGGCAGCGCACATACTGAGCAGAAAAATTCCAGAATTAACAATAACAATGTTAATAATAATAAATCCATCGCAAGGTATGACTACGATGCTAGTGGGTCAGGTTCTGATACTGGTTCCGACACTGACTCTGTCGGATCTAAAACCGGAAAGTACCGGATACCAGTAAAACCAGCATCCGGATTTGACAGTCGCAAAAAGTGCCAACATTCCGGTGATAGTGGTTATAGTCATTCAAGTAGCAGCGACGAAAGAGACTCGGTCATTGGTTCACCTTTGCTCTCTCGAAAATCTGATGAAACTACAAAATCCGGTCCTGGGATGTTTACAGCTTCGCGTAGAACTTCACCAATTCAAAAGAAGTTTATTGACGGTGTGCCTGTAGGAGTAGAAAGGCAACCAAAGGGCCCAGTTGCAGACTGTAAAGGTTTTAACAACGGAATCCGACAAAATTTGGAACAATCACAAAATATTTGAAAAATCATATTTAATTTCAAATATAAAAAATGCAGTCTAAAGATTGGGGTGAAATAGCATTATAAAATACCTTGTATCTGTTTCACTCGACAACATCGTCGTTTGCTGGACTCATTGTTTACCGTCTCTCTTAGTAAAAGTTTTCTAGTTTTATTTTTTCATTTACTCAGCCTATAACGGAACACTGATTTTTGAAATTACAAACTTGATTTATGTATTGTGATAAAAATGCTAAAGCCATACTTCTGCGTCCAGAGGTGTCGTACTCGATTATGTAAGCTTTTCGTGTATCAATTTCTTCTTTTCATAAATTTATATATATATATATACTATATCTGGAGTCTTTTCCATAATTGTATCATACATTTGCTGATGTGTGGTATTACTAGCTATCTCTGTGTTAAACTTGTTTTTTTCTTCGCTGAGCGGCGGTTGCTGTTAAAACTATTAAATACATATTTTACATAGAAGGAAACATTAACATTCTATTTGCATTGTGCAAAAGAGATATTATTTACGCCTCACACAGTGCAAATAAAATTACTTGTGAGTAAGGTGGCACTGTATTGCTTTCGCTAATAATATTTTTTTATTTTCATATATTGGAATATCATTTAATCTTTATTATTATTTTCAAAATTACTTGTTCAAAAGAGAAAATCAAAGTAAAAAGTTCCTCACTTTGAACATGTTTTATTTCATTTTTATTTTCGTTTTTTACATTTTACTATTTTGCTTGAACTATCATAACAACATTCGAAACAGCGTCAGAAAGCACAGTAATGCTATTCATCTCTGTATTCAAAATACATAACCACTCATAAGCATACAAAGTTTCATCTTAGATCACATTTATTACAATTCTGAACCATGTTTATCTTTAGTCTTAATTAAGCAATAAGAGGATTTTTACAGACGTTAGAACAAAATCAAACAAGATATTCTATCATAATATAAAGTCGTCATTGTTTTTTTTTCTTCCCTCAATAAATTTGCCTTATGTTTTCATGAACTTTTTTTTTCTGTTGTTAAGTATGCTTCTATTGAATTGAAACTTTCTTACTTTATGGCTTGTAATAATAAAAAATATTAGCTTTAAGCGTAGTGTCTGTTCCCAGGCAAAATGGGTATTCTATATCATATTGAATAGCTGCAACTGGAAACGTTTAATGACTTTCAAACTCGCGATATCGTGACGTTCACAATTCCCTTTCAGGTGGCCCAGTTGCTTCAGTGAAGGTTATTTCGCCCATGGTAATCACCAGTTCAATATCTGCGGGATATGAGGGTGTGGTTAGTTTGTGTTGAATCAGAATGCTGCATAGTTTCTTATGCAGTGTTAAGCGACTGAGCTTTACCAAATAAACGCAACGGACTAATGAGATTTAGAATATACCATACCGTGAGGTGGTGCTATGATGTCTAATCAGGCATGTGAATAAAACACGAAGACAGGAGTGAGATGCAATACCGCAGGGTTGTCTTGTTAAATCTTCACTATACGACATTTTTACAGTAATGCTATAACACCATTTGAATCGGGGTTAAAGGAACAACTCAGGCAAGCCGAGCAATTCCATTTCGTCTATGTATTATAATTCTTCAATAACTATATATTCATTATTTTCTGTGTCTGTGACGACGCAATCCGATATGCCTGTTTCTCTGATCAATAATTCTTGGTATTGTTGTTTCATGAACAAGTGAGCAACGCTAAAATGTGAAGATGAAAGTCTTATCTAACGACTAACGCTGTATCGGTAGCTGTATAAATTAAACTGAAATCAGGCGTCCATGGTGGCCCATCGTTGTCACGGGTAAAATTGAAAAAAAATTAAAAATAAAATAAAAAACTTGAAATAAAAGTAAAATAAAAAATAGTTCTGGAAAAACATTAAAAAAAATGAAAAAATAATAAAAATAAAATGCCAAAAAAAAATTAAAACGGAATAAAAAAAGCAAAAAAAAAAATTGAAGAAAAAAAAAACGTGAATAAAAATAAAATATAAACGGTTGACAACGAAGCAGCCCATCATTGTCACGCGTTTTTATTTTGAGAAAATTTGCTTCGGCTTGGGACCAACGTTGTCATACATAATCATACGCGCACAAACGGTGTTCCCTGGGTTTCTAACTCATTAGGCTACTAATTTTCTTGAGCAATATTCAATAAATTTAACATGCAAATGTTCTATTAATTCTCCATGATACAAGTTCAACTAGAAGTAATATATATATTTAAAATAATGATAAGAGAATGGAGAATTGAATAGAAAAATTCGAGAAATTTGTTTTTACGTGTAGAAGGTAATTGAATAATGGTTGAGCCCGTGCGATTTATCATTCTCCTGGATCGGCACGTTACGGCTGTACGGTATGCCGCACGGTATGTGATACCGTATGCACATGCCGACATGCACGTTCCATTGAAATCAGGTCTAACCATAATCGCCCTTCAGCCTCGTGGTTGTACGATCAGACAGTAGTTGCTAGAGCCGACGGACGAGTCTAACTAGGCTACTTTATGCACACAGTCCTTTTCTATTAATTCAAGTCTATGTTAGTTGAGCAGCATTCTCCAATATGGCAACCCTGGTCAAGGTAAGCGAACGCGCAATTACCTGAAACATGACAATCTTCAGTACTTGAAACGTGTTTTCACAATTCTCAGTTTTTACATTTGACGCATCTGATAGATTCGGGATGTAATGACGATGATGCATCCGCTCGAAATATACTCATTCCTAAAGATGTCTGACCTTTGTCAGGAGGAATGTTATAGAAATACGTTTGTGTGAGTTTGCATCAAGACTATGGAATCACTTACCGTGTTTCCTCGTAAAAGAAGCCTGTCCTGAAAATAAGACCTGGCCTGAATATTAAAAATGATTTAAATATAAGCCGTCCCCTTAAAATGAGACCTAGTCGATAGTGAAATTTTTTTTTTAAACCTAGTCGATAGCGAGAAATCTTTCCTACTCGTTTTAAATGATTGATAATCTATTTGTATCAGTTATTTTAAATAAAAACGTGTCATTTATAAACGGATATCGGTTTTCATATTATGTATATTTGAATATCTCGTAATTCTCTACTTTGTCATTTTGTTTTTGATAGAGAAAAATAAAAGACATCCCCTAAAATAAGCCCCAGTGTTATTTTTGGGGAAAAAATTGAAATAAGACCCAATCTTATTTTTGAGGAAACACGGTATATGATTCTTACAAAATATGTCAGCTGCCTAGCCGAGCGAATGATTGACTTCGACATCTAGGACCAGTTAGATCAATAGGTGTACAAGTGGGCAATTTATGACTGCAGCAATTACAAAATTACGTTTGTGTTATTAAGTACAGTCGATAATGGGTGTCGCTCCGCAAAGCTGCGTCCGTTAGTGGTTCACAACCGCCGTAAAACTCCTCACGCCGGATTTTAAACGGAATGCCTTTGTCAATCAAGAGCTGAATATGGATACTACAGGTATACCTCATCGGTGACCAGTCAGCCGTATCATCCTGAAAGAACGACGTCATTCTATTGAATACTGTAGTGTAGTTATTTGGCCATGCGACAGAGTCGCTCAAACTTTGTTGGTTGAGAACGTGCGGTTGTAAAAGCTCTTCCGATGCGCTTTAGAACTACTTCACAAGAATTCTCTGTGTAAATATAAACTAGGCGAGGTTAGGGGCACGGCAAAGTTTTTATTATGGGCTTTGCCTCTCGGTCGCCGACCCTACTACATCGACAAATACCCCATGGTATCGAATTTCCAATGGCGCGATGCAATGGTGTTGTTGCGTGCAAGTGCTATATAAGCCTCACGTGCTTTTTGTTAGTTGTATTTTAGGGAACATTTATATTTTTTTGCTATTATTTCTGTATTGCTGTTGTTTCTGATCTGATCTTATGAAGAAGACATACTACTGGTACCGAATACATATATTGCAATTGTATATTTACAAATACAAAGAACAGTTCCAAGTCATGACTGATAAGTCACATAAAAATCAAAGCTTCACTGCAAGCCCGAGTCCATTAATTACTTGTCCATCGTTATCCTTTTTTTCTCTCCCAACGAATGGTCGCTTTTATGCTGGTTTTGGTATCCTTAGGGCATGACGCGTTATCGTCATCGTACCTTACAGGACGTCTAATTGTTACGTATTTTATGACTGTAAGATTGCTTCTAATTTTAAGATTAGTATGACTTTAAGTCTAAACACGTAACTTAACCAAAAGCAGCAAAATTACCCAATATCCTATACTATGCACCTACTTTAGCTGCGGAGCAGTGGCCAAGCTTGGGCGTGCAGTGAAAATATATACACAAAATGCAACAAAATTCATAAAAACATAAGAAAGTTGAAATTATGATTATGAGACAGAATGTGTGTGTGTTATACAGTGTATGGAAAGAAAAAGATTTGGCGTTGGTTTATTTTATAATTTAGGTGACAGATTACTACCAATGCTTAGCTTTAATACACTTCGTTTCACATTAATAAATTTTGAAGCGCTGAAAAAAATAAAAAAATACGCGTGTTGCGTTGATGAGCCTTTCCGGCTATAATTGTGATGAGCCTCTTTGGGCGTTTAAAAATAAAAAAAATGAGGATTTCACTTGCGTTTATGCAAATACATCCTGAAGCGCTGATTCGAAATACGATCGTATGAAATCATATTTTGAAAAAAATGTTAAAGTCAACGTAAAGTATATTTAAAGAAAACGAATGCTAATATCTGCCAAAATCGAATAAATTAAATATTTTTGAGTAAACCTCGTTGGGTTTAATACCAAATATAGAACGCCTTAAAGATTAGAAAGAAGGAAACGTGAAATACCTGTGAAGAAGAAGAAGAATGTCTGTCCATTTTGTACACGAAATTGAAATATTTATAGATAAAATGCTACAATCGCGCGGTTCCTTGAAGTTGGTTCGCGGGCGTTTCTTTCTGAAGTTCTTTCGTTTCATATCTTTCTCATTTGTTTTTGTAGTCAAGAGTTCTGACTAGTTTTTGATTTTACAGTTTTTTTTCTGGTGTAAAACAGTTCATATAGTATGAATGTTTTACACACATATTTTTATAACAGTCCATAGTTCATATAATGTGAATCTCATACACATTTCAAATCTAACAGTCTTTTTCTTTTTGTCAGAGTCTTTGGTATTTCGCTTGTAATTCCTTGATTTTTCATACTGTCTGAATCTTGGTTTGGTTGTTGTTTTTCATTTTCCTTGATCTTTTTATCCTCGGCTTGCTTGTGGAGTTGATGTCTTTTGGGGGTCACCTTTAGTTCCAACGGTTGCTTTTCAGACTCCATCTCAGAAAGGCGCTGGTTCGTCTGTCGGGTCACCATTTTTAGGGAACATTTGTGTTTTTGCTACACTTTCTGTATTGTTGTTGTTTCTGATCTGATCTTATGAAGAAGACATACTACTGGTACCGAATACATATATTGCAATTGTATATTTACAAATACAAAGAACAGTTCCAAGTCATGACTGATAAGTCACATAAAAATCAAAGCTTCACTGCAAGCCCGAGTCCATTAATTACTTGTCCATCGTTATCCTTTTTTTCTCTCCCAACGAATGGTCGCTTTTATGCTGGTTTTGGTATCCTTAGGGCATGACGCGTTATCGTCATCGTACCTTACAGGACGTCTAATTGTTACGTATTTTATGACTGTAAGATTGCTTCTAATTTTAAGATTAGTATGACTTTAAGTCTAAACACGTAACTTAACCAAAAGCAGCAAAATTACCCAATATCCTATAGTATCAGTAAAGAGAGGTAACTAACAGTTGGGGTTACGTGAAATTAACTACCTTTCCTTGCTCTATGGATCCGTATGCTTATAACGCAAGGATGCTATAGCAAGAGTGAAAATAACTATTCAATTCAAGACCAAGGTCAGACTTCTTCAGACAAGCATTTTACAACTATGACAAGAAACTATATTGCATGCACATAAATAATGGTATCAAAATTGGGTTAGGGAGAAATAAGTAAGATTGGGACAGTGCCAGAACAATAGGAGAGCTAAATGTGGATTATAATCAATAAGAGTCCCACAGTTTAGTGAGTGAATATAAA